TTCTTTCTTTCTTTCTTTCTTTCTTTCTTTCTTTCTTTCTTTCTTTCTTTCTTTCTCTCTTTCTTCCCTTCTTTCTTTTTCTTTCTTTCCTTCCTTCCTTTTTCTTTTTCTTTCTTTCAATGAAAATGATTCCATATGCCCTTAAATATCTGCCCCCTCCAGATGCTTGAAGTCCTGCCATTAATTTTTACCTGTGAATTATCAAAGCTCTTATCAAGCTCCTCTTTTAAAATGTAAATATCCCTGAGAGAGATCACTCATCCAGGGCATTTACCACCATCTCCTCCCTCTCAGGAAAAACAAGGAGGGGAGGATTCCAAAGGATGGAGAAAGGGTACAGGCCCTGGAACAGGGGGAGAGCACAAGAAAAGGAAGATGAGGACATTGGACAGACTTGGCCAATTGACCATTGCCATCAAGTGCTGAGGGCCAGCCCCAGCTGATATATACTCCTTTGAAGTCATCCGTGTCCACCTAAATCACACATGACCCCACCCAAAGCAGGGGCAAAACTATCTTTGGGTTTGGAGGTAGGATGACCCTTTATTTATCCTCCAAACCAGAACACTTTTGAGAGTAAAATGGGATGCTGTGAATAATTAAGCCTAGATAACCAGTATATATGGGGGTCTGTCCTATCACAGGAAAACTCAGAAATAGGATCCACTCAGACCATTTCAGGCAGGAACTACCTTACCACTTTGGTTTGTTGTTTTGTTTTTGTTTTTCATGTATATAGAGATTTTTTTTTTCTCCAGTGTCACTCAGGGCTTCTCCAAAGAGCTAGTTTTCCCAGCTGAAGAGACACAAACTCTCCTTAACCTGAATCCACGCATCAAAGACCAGTGGCCCAAGGATTAGGCAGTTGTTATCTGCTTCCTGGAGCAGAGCCCAGGGAGGAGCTGGGGAACCCATCTGTTCCCAGTTCTAGCACAAAGAGGGCATGGTACAGATTCAAGAATGCCCAGCTCTTTTGCAGACAGTGCCAGTAGTCAAGGCCAGTATGTAGGCATGGTCAGGGCAATGCCCCTCTCACCAGTTGCTTCTGGACATTTCTGGCCTCCAGAAGACAGCAGCTTTAGTCATCTCAGGGTTCCCATGGGGCAAATCCAGAAGACAGGTTTCTGTGATTTGATTTTAGCATAGAAGGATCAGTAGTAAAGAAATCCAGTAGATTGTCACACATCCCCCAACTCAGTGAAACACCATGGTCTACACACATACACACACATGCACATATACACACACTTCAGGTTCTCAGGTATTCCCATAGAAACACACATAAAAAGCCCAAAGGTGCTGGAGCTGTCAGGAACCCACTGCTCAGGGAGGAGGCAGGTCACCAGCCTTCACGCTGGACGCACTTTGCCACATCGCCACATGGGAGGAGGGCACTTCAGGCTCCACCGCAGACTCTTGCAGCAAGTGGCCCCCCAGCATCATGGTGCTGCCGTTGTCAGTCACAGGCAGCACCCCTCCCCTCCCACACCTCCTGGCAGTGGGAGTTGGGGTCACAAGGGTTTGTGAATCACAGCAACACCTAAGATGAAGAGGAGAGAGAGTTAGCAACTTAGCTTCTCCAAAGTTATTCAGAGTCCCAAGGAGTTCATGAGTCCAAGCCATCCCAAGGGCCCCAGGCAAGGGAAAGGGGCATGTTTGTATCCAAACACGGAAGGGCCTGTGGACTCAGGCTGCCGGCCAGTGGCTGGCACTTTCCCACTCTCATGGCCAACTCCCAGCAAGATACTTGAACCCACAAGCACAGTCCTTCAACACCACAGGTTAGTGGTCTCCCACCCCCAGCCCCTGCATCATCACATGTACACAGTTTCTATGGTAACAACTCCTTTCCCGATCCCAGGACTCAGCTGACCAACACTCAGCACCTTCACCAGACCCCCAGAGGCGGCTCCACAGATCTACATCCGTATCACTTTAAGAGAAGTGACAGTGATTCGTGCCTACATTTAGGAGACACTGAATATGAAGTGAAACTGGACTGACTTCATGGAAGTAAGATAAACCGAATTCCACTTGTAGCTCTGCCACCACTCAAGCTGCACTCGGGCCTCAGGCAAGTCCATTTACCTCTTTAGGCTCAGCTCCCATACTATTTAAGGTCACCCAACTGAAAGACCCCTCTAAGGCTAAATTCTACTCGGAAAAACACTCCAGGGGCGCCTCAAAGTGGGGCTCAGTTGGTTAAGCTTCCAACTCTTGATTTCGGCTCAGGTCATGATCTCACAGTTCTTGGGATCAAGTGTCACATCAGGTTCTGTTGCTGACAGCTTGGAGCCTGCGTGGGATTCTCTCTCTCTGCCCCTCCCCCACTCTCACACGTGATCTCTCTCAAAATAAATAAATAAACTTCTTAAAAAAAAAAAAAACAAAACCAGACATGTCTGTGTGTGTTAACGGTTTTAGCCAAGTTGAACCATCCTCCACAGCTAACTTTGTGAATCCACAGATGACCCTAGAATCTCTGTAACGTGGCAGATACCGTCGCTTGATTCATCCAACTTCCCTTCTCCATGCTGTCCTCTATTGCAGAGAATAGCACCGTACACACTCAGCTTCCCAGACTCCCTTGCAGTAGGAAGTGCCATGTGACCCAGTCCCAGCCAAGACCATTGTCAATGCACATCTGCCAGTGCTGCAGCTGTGCCTGTGTCCCTTGTCCCACCTCAGAGAATGCTTACATAGGGCCCAAGGCAGCAGCGGCAACTACTGGTATAGCTGGCAAAAGAGAAAAGGGAGGAGAAACCTGGTTCTCCAACGACAGTCTGAGCCCCTTGGCCAGCCCGAGACTTCTTTCTGCCTAAGACAAATAACAAGCCTTACTTATTTAAGCAAGAACCTGTCAGTTTTTCGGATATCTGCAACTGAACAAAATCCTAATTTACAGGTAAGGTCTACTGGTACAGTGTAACTAGAGCCTCACTTTAACATATTCCCATGGCTATAAAATCTGGTTGCAGATGAGATTGAGAGAACAATGCTAAAAGAAATGCCAGGATACCCATGTGGTGAGGTTGTGCTAAGATATCCATTGCAAATGAATTCTGGATAAAGGTGCAAGCAGAAAAGCTCTGAGGTGGGCAACAGCAGAGTCTCCAGACCCAGATGGACTGCCTGACCCTGAGAACATCTCACATGCACCTCGGGAATCTCTTTCATAAGGCAGTGTTTTTTTTTTTTTAAAGTAGGTTCCTATGTTGCTTTTTTATATAAACTTCTTTTGATTATAAAAGTAAAATATTCTCATTATGGGAAATTTGGAAAATGCAGAAGAACACAAGGTAAAGACATTTTCTAATCCCTTCATACAAAGAGAATCACCATTTAAAAAATTTTCTTTATGTTTTTTAAATGTTTTTTGGACTATTTCCTGGCTTCTAAAAATAATCCTGATCATTTACCAAGGGGATGCTACGTGCCAGGGAAGGCACAGTACTAAGTGTTCCACGTATTACCGCACACAAGTTATAAGAGATGTGGTATGATTTTATTCTCATTTTACAAATGAGAATACAAGAGGTTCACTCAGACGGATTACCCACCCCAGAGTCTCCAGGGCAAGTAGCAGAACTGAAACTCAAATTCAGATCTGATTCCAATATCCATTTTTTTAGGTGGTAGCTCTTCAAACGTCCGTGACCCCAGGACTACCTGAGTGAGCTCAAGTGGTACATACCTTGTGCATTCTCCCTTTTTAACCTAACAGTCTGTCACAATCATGTTCTTATGACATTAAGAACACTTCCACTGTAAAAAATATTCCACAGTTTAACTACTTCCCTGATGGCAGACACTAAGTAGCTCTCTGCCCTCTGCTATCATAAATAATACTCCAAACAATAACTATCCATAAATCTCTACATTTCAGACCATTTCTTTAGATTCTTAAAAAAAATGGATTCACTCAGTCAATGGACTAACACAAATTGCACGTTTGCTTGTATCCTTCTCACCTGCTTCTAGAGTGGACAGACAATAAAGGAGTGGACATGAAATATTCAGCACATATATGAAATTCTAACCACTTATACCTAAACCTTCCCCTCTCATTAAGGCCCAATAAGAGCCAAGGGAGGGTCCCTCACTGGCCTCGCTGCCTCATACTCGAAAATGCCCTGGTCTTGCCACTACAGCTTTGAAAAGAAAATGAAAGTACTGGTTTTAATAATTAATCTTGAGAAAAGAATCACTCATTCTAAGACCAAAATACCTCTAGCATCTTTTATATTTAGTTGAGAAAAATCCTACACGAGGAAAAAAAATAAATTAAGTTTGCTGCAATTGAGGACCTGTCTTGACAAAATGTGATAGGAGCCCCTTTAAGCCTGCATGGTACAATCTTCCTCTGCACAGAAATCCAAAGAAGACAGAGTGATTGACCTTCTAATATAAAAAGGGAATAAGAATGCTATTGGAGTCGTGGGGTAGACTAAAGGAGATTGTGGTTGTAGAATACGTAGGGTAATGTCTGGCATGTTCATCTGTGCTCAGTAAATAACTGTTAGCCCTAATTATTCCACTTCCTGGAAGACAAGATACAAGGAGCAGGGCTACATGCCCCTGCCATCAGCAGCACCCACTGTGGTCCGACCTCCCAGGCCTCACCAAACCCATCACACACTCCCCAGGAATGAGCCTCTACATTGGCTTCATTCCTATTCCTGCCTCCAGCCTCATGCCCAGAATAGTTTCTCCCCCTCAGCTGGGGTAGTACAAAGGACACGGGCTCAGGAGTCACACTGGAGTCTGAATTCTGACTTCGCCATTTTTTTTAAAACTATGTGGTCTTGGGCAGGTTCCTTAAGACTCTCCAAACCTCAATTTCATCATCTATAAAATGGAAAGATACAGTCCCATTCATCCAGAAGGTTCTTGAAAAGATGACAGCAAATGTACACGCTGTACCAAACACATTGCCCTGTGGCACATGGAGGGAGCACCTGGCAAAGGGCAGTGAGCTGTATGATGGGAGCCCCCCCAAAGTTTAATCATGCCCCATTTCCTCCAGGAAGTTGTCACCTGTCGTGTCCTAAAATATGTACAGCAGAGCACATTCCATTTAGAAGTTATGTGGACATCACCTTGTATGTCCTATTTCATGGAGACAGACCTTATCTTTCCAATTACACTTGTGTAAGGCAAGAACTGTATCTTACTCTATCTAGGAGCCCAGAAATGGCAATGAAATTCTAAAACCTCTTATGACAAATCAGAGTAGTTGGAAGCGGCTCCCTGGAACACAGGTGTCAAAGAGAATTCTGGGGCTACCTTCAGGTTCGCTGGGGGAAAACAGTGCTAATTATGGGTATGTGTCATGGGCACAGAATGGAAGAGTGGTGGGTGACATGTGACAATTATCTGCCCTCTCTGGAGAAGGCGCTTAGTCCCAAGTTCAGCAAACTCACGTCCACCCCCACCTCACATCCTCTGCTCAGGGGTGGGGTGAGGTGAGGGTGGAGTCGGAGTGAAGTGCACTGACCTGCGTAGCTCCGCCCCGTGCTCATGTTGGTTGGCAGCAGCGTCCATTTGTCGGTGACAGGGTTGTAGTACTCCACCGAAGCCAAATTGCAGGATCCATCATCCCCTCCAACCACATACAGGAGCCCATTCACTGCACACACCCCTGTGAACCAGAGGCCAGAGGAGACATTACGGCAGGAGTCACCAGTGATGGGAATGGATGGGAGACAGATCTGGATGGCCCTGGAGGTGCTCTTCCTCCCCTTCAAGGTAGCTCCAGGAGCTAGTTCTTCGGTCTCATTGTGCTCAACCGAAGGACATGCTGACAACAGCCACTGGGCTCCGAGGATCCCCCTTTCTAAAAAGGGGGAATCACTGCTACATGTCCCATGGACAGTTCCTGGCCCCTGACCCTATCAGTACTTAGAGCTTACCAGGATGGGCCCCTCTCTACTGGAGCATTGCCTACTGGTGCATGCAGACCTCTCATGCTAAGGGACTAAGCATGAGACTAAGGGAACCTCATCCACAGTACTACTGCTCTGCTTCTAAGTTTTCCCTGATAAATGCTGTTAGATCCCTCTTGTGTGGCTATGGTTACGTCTGTGATGCCTTTGCACCACTTAAGTCTAAATCCACACAAAGCTCCCAGGGACCAGGCATCCCTCCTCCTCTGATCTCACCGAGGGCTGGTTTGAGGGCAAGGTCTCATGCAGCAGGGACTCAAGGGTAGGAAACTGTTATTTTGCTCATCAAGAGCTCAGTCAGTTACGTGTCCAACTTTGGCTCAGGTCATAATCTCGCGGTTTGGGAGTTCGAGCCCATTGTCAGGCTCTACGCTGAAAGCTTGGAGCCTGGAGCCTGCTTCGGATTCTTTTGTCTCCCTCTCTCTCTGCCCCTCCCCTGTTCATGCTCTGTATCTCTCTCTCTCAAAAATAAATATTAAAAAAAATTTTTTTTAATTAAGAGGCCATAGTCCAACATACATGTCTTTTTTCAAAATGAGACTAAGGGGTTGGTGATGTTCAAAAAGTTGTAATTATAAGTAATGATGAAGATATATATCAAACACTGGTGAGAAGATAAAATGTACCACTTTCCTGGATGGTAGTGAAAGCACGTATGCTCACTCAGGCTCAAAAATTTTACTTCTAGACTTTTATTCCAAAGAAATAATTTTAGATGTGTGCACTGATTAGCCAAAGGACCATTTGTAATAACAAAAGCGTTACTGATAGAAAAGATGGAAATAAATGTCCAACAGTAGATTAGTTATTCAAATTATGATATAGCCATTTAAAATATCATGTAAATATATTTCATGTTATAATAAGTTATTCATGGAAGATTTTAAAGTGGATTGGAAAAGGAGGTTATAAAATAGCATCACAGTGTGATTCCACTTTTGCTATTAAAAAACAGAAATATCTGCATGTAAATGTGTACCTATACACACATCTATTTTTGGACTCAAGACACACTAGCTGTGTTAGGTAATCCCTCGAGTGTCTATAATCTCTCGCTCATGTGGTTTAAGGCCAAGTGCCAAGTTACATCATGGTGGGCTTAGGCAATGGGCAAATTAATAACTCTCCTCTGTTTACACTTTCAACATGTGAGCTACAAATGAATTTAGCAAACTGGTAACTTGATATAAAGGAAATAAATCTGCCAGAAAGTCACCTAGTTGTCTTTCCAGCCTGGGAAGCTAGGCTAAGTCAACACTTTCATAGAGTAAAGAGGATAAAGTAAGATATAATAACAAAGGACCCGAGCCAGAAGACAAAGTTGTCAAAGGAAATAGTTTAATAGGGATGTCAGGCTCCCAGAATAAAAATCTAAACCCTGTAAGATAAATCATTCTCACAGTAAAGAAAAGGGGAAGGGACAGAGAGACAGAAGTACAAAGCAAGGAAAATGGGAAGTGTTCCCACCAGAGAATGAATAAGGGGACTGGTTACCCCTAAAAGGAAGGAGATGGGTTTCAGGTGGGAAGTGAGGGGTTCTCAGAACCAGGTAGTGGCAAAGAAAAGATAGAAGCAAGCATCATTGCCTGACCATGTCCACACAGCCTTGTGCTTAGCTACCCAACAGAGCCATTGGACAGGGGGCTTTGACGGTAATCGGAGGACTTTTCTGGGTCTGTGTCTATGTGTGCACAAAGTCATCACCCTTTGTTGGAAGAGGAAGAACCCCCTGCATCTACATAGGGGACACTGTGGCTAGCTTTTGTGGTCCCTGGCTCTCCCCTCTCCCAGCCCAGAGCCTAGCTGGCAAAGGGATACTCCTGTGTGAGGTACAAGCTTGGGCCCAGGTTCTGGGAGTCTCTCCCGTCTGCTTTTCTTTTGGAGTTAGTGTTCACTCCCAAACCCCGCAAGGACAGAAGGAAAGAGTGGTCATATTACCTGCGTTGCGCCTGCACATGTTCATGTCCGCCACCTGCTTCCAGGTGTTTGTTCCAGGATCGTAAACTTCAACACTTTTCCTCACCAGGGGCCCGTCATGCCCGCCTGTGGCATACAGCTGTCCACTGAGGACCCCGACCCCTGAAAGGCAGAGTACAGTGTCCCAGCCTCAAGCTGGCTACCGCGACCAGAAACCAGGCGGCCTGGCGTCCAGTCCTGGGCAACCGTCACCAGCAGGGTGACATGAGGAGTCCTGCTCTGTTCCCCTCGACCTCAGTGTCCTCATTCGTAAAACAAATATGACACCCTGCCTGCCTCCTACAACTGTCAATCTGAGAATTCCCTAAATACAAAGCAAAAATGACCCTGTATCTATTTAGAGAAACATAAATATATATATATGTAACATGTATGTGACCATGTATGTATAAAATGGGGAGAGAGCGTTCCTATGCAAAGAAATAAAGTAAAAAAAAAAAAAAAAAAAGACTGAAAGAAATCCTCCAAAACATTAGAAGAAGTTATCTCCAGACGGTAAAATTACATTTGTCCTCCCGTTGGCCTGTCTGTGTTGCCAAGTCTTCCTACTCGTATTCCTCAGCCTTCAATTATACTAGTTGAGTAAGAGGAGTTAAACCTGGCAACTAGCCGCGTAGCAGGTGCACTGCCATCATTACTGCGCAGACCTCCCTGCATGCCCCACAGCAGAACTCGTCCTTTCTGCCACACACTCTCCTCTTAGCTTATACAGGAACATTACATCACTCCCGATGTTGATAGGCCCGAGCTTGCTTCTAGCATGGCATCGTGTACAGGATTCAGTGTCATCTTTTAAAATCCTTCAGTGCAGGTCACAGAAGGAAGGGGAGTGGAAACAGCAACAGACCTGGTGTCTGGGACACGTAGGTCTGGACGTGTGTCTCTAACTTGCTGCCGGGTGAAACTTCCCCTTTTCCAGGCCTCAGTTCTCCCATTTGCAAAGCAACATGGCACACGGGCTACCTCGCCCCACGACAGGCTGCATCACAATCAGGTGGAGAGATTTTGAAAATATAGATTCCCAGGGCCTCCCTCCCAGAGACACTGGCTGGGACTCAGAAAAGGTACCTCAGGTGATTGGGATGTGCAGCAACGTGTCAGACCCAAAGACTCAATTTCTAGGATATAAACTTCACATGGACAAGGACCCTATACTATTCAGACTATTTCCCTGTGCCTGATGGTACTAGGTCCTTGTTTGAATGCCAAAATATGTAAAATCCCATCTAGCAATTATGCTGGTTGTGCTGGTGGTTCCTCACAGTTGCCCTAAACTAACAGCAGATGGTGGTGTTGTATCAACAATGGCTATCCAACGGACTTGGGTATAATGAAATTCAGTGTGTTCCAAAGCAGCCTCATCTGCCCCTCTCCCAGAACTAGCAGAGCCTGGGTTCCAGTCATGGCCTCTTTACCCTCCTCCAAGCATCTGCGAGCACTGCTCACACGCTATTGAAAAAGAAAGCAGCATTCCAGGTCCTCAGGGTCTCCCCTGCCCTTCTGCAGCCTCTTCCACAAATGTTCACACTGATGTCTCCTGGACCTAAAAGCCACCATGGCTCCCAGCACTTCAAAGGGCCAGAAGTAGCCAGAGGCCAGAGTCTGGTTCTTCAGCCACCAAAGAACACCCACCATGCAGGTTCTCAACTCCAGAGGTGAGGCTTCCCCTAATCTTAGGGATGTGAAGCGTATAACAAAAGCTGACCTGGGAGCCTGAGGCCAGGGCTCTGACAGTAACTTGAGTCAAGAGTCCACCTCTAGGAGAGGGAGTATTCCCTAAACTGAGGTCACCCAGTGCCACGGCCAGTAGAATTGCCACCATCCACGGCCAGAGCAGCCCCAGTGAACTCCACACAGTAACAAGGCCTGGGCAGCCTGGCACAGACGGAGCAGTTCGCCTCCAGAGGCAGATCTATGGCAGATGGGGCCGGTCTGTGCTAGGGGCTCCACACGGGGCTGCCCCTCCACACTTGCTGCTTGAGATGCTCCTAGAAGCAGCCCCATGTCTCGCTGCCATTCCACTCCTCCTCAGCTGTCCCTACATCCTTGAGCTTTGAACTTGCTCTCACGCCTAAAGTCACAGAAGATTCCTAGGAAGTACAAACAAGACTCTACCAAGACTCTCTAAACCAAAATTACTAAAAGAGCTCTAGGAAGGGAGAGGAACCATGATATGTGTGCATTGAACTGGCCCCTGGGAACATCTACTGCAGCCCACTCATTTCACATCTGAGGAATCAGAAGCCAGAAAGGGGGAAGGGACTTGCTCAAAGTCACATGGCAAGTTCTAGCAGACTCAACACTAAAGCATAGGCCTCCTGACTTCCAGGCATTTGCTCCATGTTCAAGGAGGGCCGACTGGTCAGAATCAGCAAATACAATCTCACTAAAAGTAGTATTCCACATACAAATGCTTCTTAAATGGGACCATACACCTTTTTGTTTTCTAACTAGTGAGCACACAAAAGTTTTTGAATAATATTAAAATAGCATTAAGGAATGCTGAGCAAGTAGTCATGTGTTTGGAACTGTAAAGTGAGAACACAATTCAGTCTTAAAAATACAATAAAGAAAAAAAATGCACACACAAAAAAGACCTTGAGGACATTATGCTAAGTAAAAGAAGACAGAGAAACACAAATAACATATGATGTCCACTTATATGTAGAGTCTTAAAAAAAAAAATCAAAGCCCACAATACAGAGAACAGATTGATAGTTGACAGGGGGAGGGCCAAACGGGTGAAAGGAGTAGAAATCCTGACTCTACCAGTTATATGACCTTGAGCAAATTACTCACCCCCGGTCAACTTACTTTCTGTTAAGTGGAATTTATGTTGTGTCTACCTTTTAGGGGCAGTGGTGAGGACTAAATAAATTGAAGGTGCTTATTAGGACAGCACCTGACACGCAGCAAGCCTTCACTTTTCAGGGATGCAGTTATTTCCACAGAGATGGAAGGGATGATGGTGAAGAGAATATTCCCTGCGAGAGGTTAACATGTAAGTGCTTGTGTCGAGCTGGAAAGGTGCCAGTGGGAATACAGACATTAAAAGCAAAGAATGGGAAGGTGAAGTAAGGAAGAATGTTCAACTGTTGGTCTCCGGACCCACCTGGGAGTGGATCAGACATAGCCTGCGCCCTGAGGCTCCTCGTACCTGCGCCACTGCGGCGGGTGCTCATGTCTGCCACATAGGTCCATTCATTGGTTGCTGGGTTGTACTGCTCCACGGTACTCAGGCACTGGCGGGAAGCCCCATCATAACCCCCGACAGCATACAGCTTCCCTGGAACAGACAAAGTGGTTGAGGGTGGTGGCAGGGACAGTGGCACAGAACTGGAGCTTGGCTGAAACTCCATTGTTAACCCACTGGGGCACCTTCATCGCCATGAGAGTTCAGGGCCCCTTTCCTCCAGAGGAACCACAAACCAGACTATGCATTCTTCACAATTCTGCCTTCTACTTCCTCTTAAGCCATGAGGCTCCTTAATGCAGTTCAGAGCATCTTTCTAAACAAGCACCCTAAATACCCAATGCAAAGCTATGGCCTGGCACCACTGTGGCTCAGCATATTCTTGCTAGCGAACTATATTAGATCTTCTCCAGAATAAGGCACCCAAGAAATAAAAAGCTAGTGGGGCCCAGCTACAGGCAGGCAGATTGACTTTTGGCTAATGGCTTACAACAGCAGACAAAACAAATATGAGAAGATATTCTTCAGTGAGAACCCAAACCGTGACTTTACCATACTTCATGTGCTCCATCCACAATTCCAGCAAAGGGAACATGTGGTCGCAGCATGGTGTGTGCACTCTGGGCTGGGGTGGCTGGAATTCATCGAAAGGCTCCCTTGTGATCTTTAAGCCATGCGCAAGATCACTGAAACACCATTACGCATAAATAAAAATACCATAAGTTGTTATCTAAAGGCATCATTTCTGCCTGGGGATGGACATATGCGGTTGGACGAGGGGCAGGAAATCAGCATTTCAGCTCCCCTAGAGCAGAGATTCAAACATGAAGGGTCTCTTCTTTCTCTTCCTCCCTCCCTTCTCTCTCTCTCTCTCTCTCTCTCTCTCTCTCTCTCTCTCCCCCCACCCCGTGTGTGTGTGTGTGTGTGTGTGTGTGTGTGTGTGTTTGTGTGTGGTAGGGGCAGTCCTACCTCACCTAGGCCTAGGCCTCAGACCTATGGGGAGTAATGGAGTTATAATAAGGATCTCAAACACTAACTGTAGACTAAATAAACACTGCCAAATGCAAATCCACTGAATAGAGTTACTAACCAAATGAGGTGCTTTTTTTTTTTTTGTCATTATGTGCTTTCCTGAGGGAGAAATACCAAAAATAAAACTACTATTTGGAAGTGTGCCATTTTTTTAAATTAGAAAGAAGCTCAAACTGCTGTCATATCAAATATAAAATTACTGCGGCGCCTGGTTGACTCAGTCGGTTAAGCGTGTGACTTCAGCTCAGGTCATGATCTCACAGTTTGTGAGTTTGAGCCCCACATCGGGCTCTGCGCTAACAGCTCGGAGCCTGAAGCCTGCTTCGGATTCTGTGTCCCCCTCTCTCTCTGTTCCTCCACTGCTCACACTCTGTCTCTCTCTCAAAAATAAATAAACATCTACAAAAATGTTTTTAATTATTTATTCTTCTATCATTGAGGCTGGTTTTGTTTTCTGCCCCAGAGTCCTTTCCAGGGACCCTTCTAAGAAAAAAGGGACACGTCCTCCCCAGTTCTGCCCTTACGTAAGCCAGAGCACAGATTCCTGACCCAACAACTCTTCCAGGGTCCAGGCTGCTCCCATGACATAGGCTGGCCAAGATGCAACAACCTGCCCACCAGCTGCCCTCTGCTCGCCAAAACCTAAGTCATTCAGGTGTGGAGGAGATGCGGAGCTCCCGAGAGCAACCCCAGTGTCATTCAGACCAGACAGCCATGACAGAGGACAGAGAGAGGGCAGGGAAGACTGTGACCACGTGGAGAGCCCTATCTCCAAGGCCACGGTGAAGCAGAGGCCCCTTAAAATCCTCCTGAAACATTCTCACTACACTACAGAGGAGGACACACTACAGCCCCAAGGTGACCCACAGCCAAAGAGCTTCAAATTCAGAATGGACAAGATCAACAAATTCCCAGGCTGTCCCCTGTCTCAACAGGCACGCTACAAGACAGCACTTCCTCCACACACAGAACATGCTCACACAAGCCCTTGTCAAGGGGAGTATTTCAAATCACGACCACGAAGGCAACTTCTCTAACCTGCCATCAACCATCCTAACCTTGCATCAGCTGAAAAAATACCGACTCAAGGTTTCTCCTTGAGTCTATTAACAGGGACTTGCTATTTTTAACCCCTACACTATTGTTTAGTATTCCTGGCTGAGGAACAAGGGAGGAAATGGGAAGGTGGCTAGACAAAGCACTTATATTTGGCAGACAAATCAATTTCTGTTTCCACCAGGAGGATGAGATTGCAAGAAACAATTTATCTTGAGAGGAGGACAAAATCCTTGCACTCACCAAAATGACTCATTTAGTATGTTAGAATAATATACTTCTAAATGAAAATTTATGCAATACTGGTACAAACCAAGAAATGCAGTGAGAGAGAATATTTCTACTAATGTCTGTCTAATCACTGCACATTACACTCTCCCTAAAGCAAGTAAGTGTGTTCTTGTGGATGCATAGGAGATGGGGGGGGGGGGGGGGGGGGGAGGGGGCAGGGAGAGACAGAGACAGAGACAGAGAGAGAGGGAGAGAGAGAGAGAGAATGCCTGCCTACATGTCTAAATGCATATATTCCAGCTACATTCCCACTTCAGGAGAGATTAATGAATCAGTGTCATCCTATAAAGTATACCATTTTTTTTCCAAATAATACTCTATGCTTTAATACAGTGAATTCACACATATTTATAAAATCCCTATCAGCATTTGCTAATGGTCTGAAAGAGTATAGCACAATGGAAAGAGCACGGAGTTAGGAGTCAGAAGACCCAGGCTCAAGGACCAGCTGTGCTATTTACTAACGTTGGGCATATCACTTGCCCCTCTGGCACTTCATTTCCCCATGTGGAGAATGGAGAAAATCTAAGCCCTGTCTATGTCCTCCAAAAGGATTTTGGGAACAAAATTTATATATAAAAGAGCCATTTATAAACTACAGAGCCCTAACTGGGCCCCGGATCTCACTACTCTCACCTGCTTCACCCCACACACCTTTCCTGACTTGAGCAGGACTCTGCCACCAACCTGTCCTGCAGTGACAGTAATCAGACCTGGGAAAACATGCCCACCTCACTCGAGGCTCTGTTAATGTGTTAATGTTCAACATATAAATAGGAGGACCAAACTAATTAAATAAAATGAACCCTCACCCCACCACATTATACTCCTACATTCTATGTTGACTCTAGATTCCTCAACCTATAACACAACTGTTGATAAGTAGCCAAAGCAACAGCCTGGTGTCTCCCCTTAGGCTCCACTTACTCCCCCCAATACACCTGGCCACCTGCTAGCATGAGCCAATAGCTGCACCCATCTGCGCCTTAACTTTCTTCATCTGTTCCATCAGAATCCCTGAACCTGACTCAGAGCAGTGATGGGAGGAATAGAGCCAGGGTGCTGGGACAAGACCTGTGGGCTGGGGCAGGGACGGGCCGCCGCCCACTGGTATTCCTTACCCTCCACGACACCCACACCCACGCTGCTCCGCCGTGTGTTCATTGGGGCCACGAAGAACCACTCGTTGGTCTTGTAGCTATAGGCTTCCACCGATGCTAGGCCTGGGAGACCAGAGACTTGTAAGATTTTAACTCATGAGGAGAGGTGAGGACTCATCTGGTGTGAGGCTGGGGGAAGGGTCTGAAACCTGGGGATATGGCTGAGTACCACCTCTACCTTGCCATGCAGCCTGGGGCACCTCACTGATGCATGTCCTCAGTGTGTCTACCTGAGAGGACCACAAAGGCCTGACTCACGGTGGGTCACAAGGAGACATGGGGATACAACAGAACTGCCCTGCAAATGTAAATCATTACATCTAGTGAATGGAGTAAAAAACCTGAGATTGCCTCACTTGAACATGTTCTTTTCTCTTTTCTTCCTCTATCTAAGAAGCTAGAAAGCTGAGAACTTAGCGTCCCACAACCATTAGGGGTGACTCAGTCAAGAAGGCCTAAGAAGAAGTCTGATGGGCATTTCTAAAATAGCCTTTGTTTTTCTACACCAACCTGCTTGATGCTACCTGGAACACAAATGTGCTGGCTGGAGCTGTCACAGCCATCTTATGATCAGGAGGGTACAGCCAAGAGATGTTTAAAGAACCTTGGCCCCAATATTCTTGAGCAAGTAGATGAAGTTAGCAACTGCCAACTCCGGGACGTCTTCCTTCATGGGTAAAACAAGATCTCTCATTTGTTTAAGCCACAGTTTAGTGAGGTTTTTCTACTCACAACCAAAAGCAATTTCTAGAAGAAACAATGCCCCACTCTCTTTTTTTGTCTTTATTCTCAGATCCTACCCACTAGAGGCAGCCTCTCAAGGGGCTATAGACCCTAAAATATTATGAGAGAGGCAAAGAGAAGAATTGGAAAGGTTACCAATTGGTAAGGACACAAATGAAAATTCAGAGAAGTAAAAAATACTGTTTTTCACATCCCTGGGGGCATTTCAGTGTTAACAGAGTTACTGTCTATAGAGACATCCACCTGGAGGTACAGGAAAGGTGAGATAATCTCTCCAAGTTCATGTCTACTAGTAGTTTCTGATTTGAGCTCTGAAGCAACACAGAAGCCAGGAGCAATGGAACGCACCTGTGGTGGCACAGTCTGACAAAGCTTCGTGGGGCAGTAGAAAGGACAATGGATAAAGACTGCACGGCCTGAGCCAGGTCTCTTTCACAGCTTCCGTGTCCATCCAGAAGAGGGCCCTGACAGTCCTGAGATGCCCTCCAGCTGAGCATGCTCTCTTTCTACGTCTCATCTTTTTATAAAAATGGGTTCCCAAACAACAGAAAGGAGAAAAAGCCCTCATTTGAGTGCAGGAGCCTTCCTAGAATCCTGGAAATGATACCACCCATGTGGGCAGTTACATATTCCATGTGTAGAAAGGCCTGGCTCTGGCAAACAAGGTAGGAGATGAAGAAGGAGGAGTGTGCTGTTGAGGTAGCTGTGGATGGACAGAAGGCTGACCCAAGAACTGGCTGAGCAAACCAGGGTTGCACTGAGGGCATGTCCCAGTCGAGGAGGAGTGGGGACCACATCCCGGACCTACCAGTGCTTCCATCAAAGCCCCCCACGGCGTAGAGCAGGTCATTGAGCACGGCTGCACCCAGAGTGCTCCGGCGCTCCTGCATGCTGGCGATGGACGTCCACTGGTCCTTCACACCATCATACACATCCACTGTCCGCACGCGCAGTGAGCCGTTAAATCCACCCACAGCATACACATGACCAGCCATGAACACCACACCTGAGGCACAGGAAACCAAGGCATCGAGATCATCTCAGGCGGCTGATCACTCGTGCTGATGAGTGATAGTGCGGGGGCCAGGCAGTCACATGAATAATTCTCCACAGAAAGTGATCTCCAACTTTACAGAATAGGAAGTCATTGAGGGACTCACTGGATTTCTATTCATATATGCTTTTCCAAGTGTGTTTGATTCAAGCAAATACTGGTACTAGCTTCAAGTCCCTAAGCACATAGCAACTACCTCAGAAGGGGTAGCCAGATATTGGGCAAGTGGGGAATGGAAAGGAAGAGAGTCTGTAATGCACACGTTTGTGGAAACAAGGAGCAATTCAGGATTGCCAGCAGTAAGCAGAGACAGACTGGGGAAAGGCAGGCTGCTTACCTGCTCTGCATCTCCTGGAGGGAAGCTCAGCTATCTGGTCCCACCGGTCCTCTTCAAAATCGTAGCATTCCACACTGCGGATCGCCTTGGGTGCCTGGCCACCAACCACAATCATGACCTCCAGAAAGACAAACAGACATTGGCTGGGTCTCCACAACATGTGGATTCATGAATGATCAATCCCTGGCACTTCCACATACCAACTGCCCAGGGTTCACGAATGATCTGCCATGCCCGTTGATGACAGAGTTACATACATGAAGATGCTACCCACAATCACCAACAGATAGACTTTTCTTGCACAGTCAGTCCTAACAAACAAAATTGTAAGGTCTACCCTTCCCAAAGACTTGTGCTCAGGGCTACGTTGGTGGCACATGTAGCCACTCAGGACATCTACAATCTCAATGCCCTCAAGGATCTGAGCCAGGGGACTCAATTCTTTTATCAAAACAAAATATTCCAAAATACATATATAAACTTGAATATATTTTTGGAATAGAGGGCAGAACTTGGATGCATGTTTAAGGTAAAATTACTTCAAAAATATTTCTGAATACACAGACTACAGGGGGGCACTTATTCATTGTAGTCTGGGACAAAATTGTGAAAGACTGCTTTGGGGTAGTTCCCAGAGAAATGTATTTAACTGATGATGTTCTGAAAAATCGTGCTAACAATACCATCTCCACAAGTAAGGTAGTAGCTACCACTGCTGGTCACTGTGTGAAATGCCTGGTCATTTACTCATCATGTTAACTCTGTGAGGTAGATGTTTTCCGTATTGACAAATAAGGAAATTAAAGCTCAGAGAACATAAACAAATTGCCCAAGGTCACACAACTGCAAGTGGAAGAACAGAGACCGAAAACCAAGTCTACCTGATGGAGAGGTGAAGGCAGTCCCACCCCTCTCCTGCTCCAGACACAAGGTCCACGCAAAGACAGCTCACTACGTCTGCAGGTCACGTTTCATTGGTGAGTCAGGAGATGAATTTTATGGATTGCAACCAACATACTTTTAATAGAGCAGCACAGAAAATATAGGAAGGGTATTATTTCATGAAACAGTTGGTATGCTTATACACATGTGTATGTGTCTCCTGGATCACAATTTAAACAGATTTGTTAGTATGGGGTATAGTCAGGAAAGAAAAAAAAAAAAAAAGCCACTGCTCCAGCTATAGTATTAGAACTGGAGCATTTAATTGTGGTATCCCTATTGTGACTTTGGTCACATGTAGCAAAGTTAACAATCGTACATATGTTTTAATAAACTGGTACAAGTTCATGGTTGTCTCCATAACAACATCACTCTCATGGCTATTCTAAGAGGTCTTCTTACATGGCGTGGAAGGGGTGGGAGTCACAGACAGCCAATCAATAGGAATCACAGGACATTCTCATTACCTGTAGCTTGTATTATGTACTCCAGTGGTTCTCAAACTTCAATCACCTGGAGGGTTGTTAAAACACAAAATGCTAGGCCCCCTCCTCAACCCTGCCAGAATTGCTGATTCAGCAGGTCTGGAGTAGGACAGAGACTGTGCATAACAAGTTCCTGGTTGATGCTGGTGCTTCTGTTCCAAAGCATCTACCATACGAGGAGGCAGAACCAGCGCTGACTGCTATTGCTCATCAATCATTTATGTCCCAAGATTCCACATCCAGGCCACCCACTGCCCATGTGGGTGGTCACAGCTGTCTGTGGTCAAATGTGGGTAACCAATGTTCAAAAACTCAGAACTCAGTTCTGACTTCTGGAACATTCCAAAGGAACCCAAGACACCCAGTGCAAGATTAGAGTTGCTGCTACTGCTTCTGGAAATAATATTCTACATTTGGCTCTCCATGACACAGCTCAAAGGGTCCACTGCTCTGTATCAAGAGCAGCCCTCTTCAGAGAAAACCTGAATTTGACATTACTTCCCATCTGTAATTCTTTGCTTAGATAGGCATCCATGACAAGTTTAAGGGGCAGTTAAGGAACACAGCCTTTTGGCAAGCTTCGGACAATGTCCACCTTATTCCTCCAGGGCCCAGGGACTCGCCGTGCATTCTTAAACATGCCTAGGACATGTACCGTCCTTCCAGTTTTGAGTTGGTAAAGCTAAAATGAAGGCACAATACTGCAACGATTTTCCATGAAATCTGGTTCTGGGGACTGGGTGAGAATAAAACCAGGTTTTAATTTTCTTTTTACAGTGACCTCAGGCACTCAACGCCTTCCATTCCCTCTCCTTGAAACATTCTCCCCCATTCCTGATCCCTCTGCTCTAACACATGCTTATTTTTTAGGTCTCAGTTTACATGTCACCTCCTTCAAAAGGACCTCTCTGATCTCAAATCTGAGTTAATGTCCCTTCTCTGAGATCACACATGCCTGTGTTCTCTCATTAAAACTGGCCCACACTGTGTTCTAACCTCCTAGTGACCTCGTCTCCCTGCCTGGATGGTGAGCCTTGGTGGGGAAAAAAATCTATCTGCCTCAGTCACCAAGATAACCTCAGGGCCTTCTGGTGCCAGGTAAAAGTAGGACTCAGATATTTATTTGGGATAAGAAATGAATGAATGGCAAGGAGCATACGTAAGAAACCAAATTTTAAAAAAATACACGGTTAAATCAAAGAAAATACACAATCAGAATGTCACTTACTGGGATTAATACATGTTGGCCACCAGATTACAATTTGAGAAGCAAAAAATAAATAAAGAGAGAAAAAGAGAACTTTTTCCATCTTTTCACTCAACCACCAGAAGAAAGACAGTTTATTCTTTGTACAAGTTATCAGGTTTTCTCTGTTAAAAAAAAAAAAAAAGGCGAAGCTTTCGAGGAACCTCACCATGCCCCAGAAACAATCTTACACCAGGAGTAGGGAGGTACATTCATATTGGAGAAAAAACGAGCACTTATATCTTGAGAACTGTCGTAGTTACACAGAAGCATTACTATACAAACGCAAAAATTCCAATGCTAAGGTAAAACCTGAGTAGAAAACAACAGGAATACAGGACAAGGTTTTCAAAACGAACTTCCCTTTGAGCTCATAAAGCCACCGTTGAGGGATAACTGTGAACATTAAACCTCATACAATAATTTGGGAAGAGTAATTATGAGCTTGTGTGGAGCAGGACCACTGGTTTCTGAAAATGCAGAGATGGCTCAAGGCAGGAGGAGATGCACTTTCGGCTTCTTTCACAGGCCTAAGAAAGCCACTTCCTATGGCAGGCTTTGCAAGAGGCCACCATACAAGGAACACTATACTCGTTGTGTGATCATGCTGAGTAAAAGAAATAAATTTCCTATCTTGAATACTAATGGATGGTTGTTTCCATAGATACCTGATCCTAGCAACCAATTAGACAAAAATGAGTATGCCCCAAGTCTACATGTATTACATCTCTAAAATTATAAACCTCTAGCTACTTAGGAAGATCATAAGATGTCAGGGCATGAAGACATTTAAACAATTCTCTCCTACAAGCCCTTATTTTACATTTCCAGAAAAACTCAGCCCCACAATGCTCAACGAGCATATTTCTTTCTTTCTCCAACACCTCTAAGTCCAAAAGATTTGTAATGTCTATAATAGAAATTACTGAAGCAAATCGGCTTATTTAACAATTGCTATTTTTAACATGTATCTTTTAAGGTAACCCTGAGGAAGATCTACCAGGGATCATATGGGAATCACAATAAAGAACTGGTTCCAGGCTAACAATTATGCTAGACCAAATAAAATGTAATCATGTTGAAGGACAGCAGTGTACTCGGGAGTCTTGCAGGGCACTGCAGGGTCCTAACCCCAAGTCTCATCTGCCACCGTGTTGAAGGCTACAGAAGTTCTGGTGGATGGAGAGTTCTGGTTGACAGAATACAGGTAAGCCAGACTCAACCATGGACGGCATGGCTGTTGGATAACTCCCAAGGAAAACACTGTCATTGTGGAAAGTCCAAATGGCCATTTATTTTAGGGAGCTTAGTGAGACCATGGAAAGACTACCTGATGATTCCTTAGGAAGGAAAGTTCACTCCCAGCCTAGAGAGATGGTTTTTAAATAAATATATAAGACTATCTCCTCCCACGGAGGATTCTGACTCTAGCAGCATGACTGGAGCAGTGAAGACATGTTAGTCACTCCTCACAGAGTATGACAACCACTCTGTGTGAGAACCAGGAGGTACCCAAGACTAGCCAGGGAGAGGTACAGCAGGTGAACAGAGCAGAGACTTCTGGCTCACTTGTGAGTCAGGATCCTAACCTCTAAGTCATCAGACTCTCCAGTAGGGTGATAGGAACAATGTGGGCTCTGTACACTGTTGTCATCAGGCAAGAGTGGAGTGTGTGTCCAAACTCTCTTCCATGACCGGTGAGCTGGGCAGAAGGCAGGCCCAGCCAGTCGGTCCCTCGGGCCAGGGCAGGAAGCGAGACTCTCTCTTACCCTGGTGCGTGGGGCCGCAGGGCTAACACCAATTCTTCCGAGGAGCATGTCGAGGTCGAGGCAGAAGACTTGTCCCCGCAGGTTCCTGAGCAACAGATGCTCTAGGCAAGGACTGACAGCCAAAGCGCAGAGACAATGGGAGGTGGAGAACCAGGAATGTGAGAGCAAGACCCAGGGAAGACAGGAGTGAGAATATGGACTTTGGAGTCAGGCACATCTGGGCTCAAATAGCAGCCCAGTGACTAAATAGCTGTGTGACCATGGGCAAGACATTTAACCTTGCCAAACCTCACTGCCATTACCTGTAACATCAAGATAATAGGATGTTTCTCTCGTGGAGGCCAGGAGCCTTAAATGTCATAAAGCACTTAGCACACAGCTTGGTAAATCGTATATACTAAATGTTAGCTTCTAGTATTTGATCAACACCAACATCATTACTGTTGTTTAAAACAGTTGTTAAAAAACAGACTCCTAATAAATGGTAGAAAAGGACACTTACATGATCTGTAAAGAGAAGAGTAAACACCACTAATTCCAGGGTGATGACGGGACTTTTTGAGGGCCCCAGGGTGTTTTCTAGGTGTGGCCTGAGTCCATCTGAAGGATCAAGATGGAAAAGGAGCAGTGCCGATCCAGGAGCCTGGCCCAGGTGAGAAGTCATCCTACCCACCCT